AGTGAAATGTGTGTAAATGTTAGTTAGGCTCTGGGTACTGGTAGCATTAAATATGTCTTGCTGCATAAAGTGCCTTACGTTTCATTTCCCCTTAAACATTCCTTGATTTGAAAGGTGTTTGCAAAACCAACTGAATACATAAGTCAGTATGCAAGTTAAGGGAAAACAAGGTGTTGTTTAATACTTCAGATATTTTCGGCGTCTAGTTTTATGCCTTTATTGGATCTGTTGGACAAAAGTTGGGAAACTGCACTGTTAGATCATCTCACTCCACTGAGTCCCTTCCTCCCCACTTAGGCTAAACGGCGATGACTGTTCTCAAACCATAATTCCAAACTCATAGACTAAGTCTCCATGCAAAGCTTCTTCACATCTCTCAGGGTTTCCTGGAAATTAAACTCAGAGGGGATGGGTAATTTCAAAATCTTTCCAAGTCTCTGTGGCATGCCCTTCAACGATGAGGCTTAGTAGAGAGTACAATGCAGATTTTTTTATCCTTTATACAAGTCTGTAAAGTTAAAGAAAATTACACTGGACTTTAGAGAAATACACGACCTGTTGCCAGCAGCTGGATTGTATTACAACAGCCATTAACCTCTAGCGCGTAGGTCCGAAGGCAGCTCAGGCTGAGGCAACTGAAACTCCTTGCCCTGTGGAAGCTTTGAAGTTTGGAACTACTGACATGAATACAGACTTCCTTAGAAAACCCCTGAGAGAGGACAGAAGCACATTACTCAGTTTCAGATGCATGTTAGCTACAGGCTGAGGAAGAATATGAGGCTATCACAACTGGGCTTCTTATTTCATAAAAGGCCTGATTCTTTCAGAACATTTTTTTTCAATTACCTGAATGTCTCAGAGCCAAACCTTTGATTCAGACTGGCCTTTGAGATACAGCACAAAAGCATGGGGAAAATCTCCTAAATGTCATTACCATGATTTATTTTAAAAAATGAATGAAAATTGATAAGACACACCCTTTTCAGAATTCCAGAATTTCAAAATGCTGACTAATAGTCTAACAGTAATAATATAGTATTTTTATAATTACTGTGTGACTGCATACTGTATTTTTCCATAATTTCATGTCTGCATGAGATGCCAACATGATAAAAATATCTATGCCTCAAAAGGTACAAAAGTAATCATCTCTTTACTTTCATGGACTTTATACGTGTAAAGGTGGTGTGATATGTGAGGGCTCGATAGTACATTTTGTAAAGTGGAGATACAGTATGTACCTCACAAGCATATTAAAAAAAATACCTTTATGATAAAATGCAACCAAATACTGGTCTACGTTCATGCAAATTTCTGGATTATATTCTTAATGAATATGAAGGCATGAGAAAGCACACAAATCTATGAAGTGAGAGCAAAGAGGTGGATTGTTAGGGTGTTATTAGTAGATAATTTTCTAGGGAAGGGGGTATATGTCTGCATACCTAAACATATCACATAGCAAGTATTATTGACATGAAGGCCAGTCTTCAGAAGAGATACGGAAGATGAGATGGTATACTCAAACACCACCTCCCCAAATACACACTCAAAACTGTGGAAAAGTCCAGTCTTCTCACAGCTCGTCAACATACATCATAGGAATATCACCCTTTTGTGTTACCACAAGCATAAACATGAGGACGTACAGGATGTACATGAGTAATGTACCACATGCAGAAGTGTTTATGTCTGCTTCCTTTAGGGCTTGGTGATGTATCATCTCTGTGTCAAGACTAGTCATTTCAATATGGTGTAAGAAGGTGAAAAGGTTCGAATATTAAAAATATACAATAACTAGCACACTAAATCTTGGGTGTAATATTCACTAATGCATACAGTATATTGCATGTTTTTTTTTTATCAGAGCCACTGAAAAGCCCGATTGCCCAATGTAATGATCTATGACCAGGATTGTAATGACAAGGATTATCTCTAACAGTACTTTGCAGTCTAATTAGTCTATCTGTGTAAGTAAAACAAAACAGAGGTTTGAAGCTTAATAATTTAAATAACACCCAGTTTTTCATGATGAAGAGAGAGTTGTAAGATAATGCTGGGAAGAAACTGCAGTTGCAAAGAAGTTGATTGTCAACAGTAACTGCTAGTCTGCAAATTGTGTGTTCACTTCATGGCATCTGCAAATTATACATTTGAAAAGCCTGCTGTTAATTTCATCATTATATCAACCATGGGAATAAATCCAGACCCTGGTCTATGAGGGCAACCTAGAAGGTTTGTTTAGGTTTGATCTGATGATGAATAAAGCTCTATGTTACTAAGTAAGGCTAATGTGATGCCTATGTCAAGTAAACTTTACATAATCCTGTAGTCCTGTGCAATGTACTAGATCTTGCGAATAACAGTATTTTCTATGAAGTTTTGGGGATGTCTGTCCATCCACTTTCAGTAACCCCTTAGTACAACCTAGTTAGGAAGCCAATCCATCACTGTGAAAAACACCCACACATACAGTATATGGGACATATTTAGGGAAGCCAATTAACCTAATGTGCTTAATCTTTGGACTACAGGAACAAACTTCGGATGTTCCTCGGATGTTCCTTTTCCGAAGGACGGATGAGACGTAAAACCGAGGTCCTGACTCTCTGTGGTCATTAAAAATCCCAGGGTGTTTCTCGAAAAGAGTAGGGGTGTACCCCGGCGTCCTGGCCAAATTTCCCATTGGCCTTCTAACAATCCCCCTCTATAAATTGGCTTCATTACTCTGCTCTCCTCCCCACTGAGAGCTGAGCGGTCTGGCGCACTATGGCTGCCGTCGCATCATCCAGGTGGGGCTGCACATAGATGGTGGTGGAGGGGATCCCCATTACCTGTAAAGCGCTTTGAGTGGAATGTCCAGAAAAGCCCTATATAAGTGTAAGCAATTATTATTATTATTATTAAACTGAAGCACCTAGGAAAAAACACTGCAGCACTGGGGACAACATTTGAACTTCACATATAGTGTAAGGCACACCAAGGCAGAATCAAACCAGCTCTGTCCAAATCAAGAGTTGTGAAAAAAAGCAATACTAATACTAAGCAAAACGTAGTATATTAGTATATAGACACCATATTCCCTCTCTTTCAAGAGGCAAAATCTATCATATTACTGCAGTGAACCAAAGCAAAACATTAAACTGGATATTTCTGAAGCCATGTAAATCAGACTTGAAAACTCCATTCATCAAGATGCAAAGACAAATTATGCTGCACAAAATGTAATCATGAAACATCTTGAACCTTGATAGTTTTTTTAAAAATCAGTTAAATATGACCTACTCACAAGCACCACCGCACTTCTGCAGTTTTATCTCTACAGAATATTGGTTTTGCGCTACAATTGTCAATAATTTGGAATATGGTTCGTAATGTGAAAGTACGTTTGCTAAAAGATCAGTCAGATCTTTATTTTATTAAACTTGATCTTTTATCTCCACAAATACAAATCACAGACTTCTTCAAGAGCTACCACAAATTAGGCACAAATCACGCTTACAAAATAATCAGATTTAAATCAAGAGAGCCAAACCCACAAATATTTCAAAAAGGCTTCAAATGAATCCATTTAGCTATACATCTGAATGGATTAGATGTAATTATTTTTCCTTTCATCTCCCCAAAAAGTTACATTATTAATTTATTCAACTGATGCTTTTAAACAAAGTACTTTACAGTAAAAATACCTATTGTTTTTAGTTGCAAATTATAGTACACATTTATACAGCTGGGTTTTCTGGAGATGCCTGGGGAATGCATCTTGCTTAAGGGTATAAAAGCACTGTCCCCACCTGGGATTTGACCTCACAACACTCTAGTTAGGACATCAGAGCTTTATCTACTTCTGCACCTTGCCTTCAAACCCTTGAACATTGGGCAATACAATACAAAATATAATTTCACATGCATGTTGTACATACAGAATTCTTTACCATGAACTTACTATCATTTGGCTCAGTTTTAGTTTTTTCATCGTTTTACTTTGTTTTCAGTGAATGTCACTGCAGCACACATATAAAAGTGTGCCAAGATAAAATATGGTATTATCACTTCTCATGAGATTATAAAGTCACTAGTCTAATATAAGTTCCATTATGAGGTTTAAGTAATATGGCTGCTCTAAGGTTCAAGTGCTATATGTTTAACATTATGCTTAAAACTAAATATAAGCAATACAGATAAAATCACTTGAAAGTACAACTTTAAATTGGGACAATGTTTCAGCAAGTGTTAGTGGATCATGTCAGAACTGATATCTTTAACACAAATATTCAGCACTTATTCTGAGATTGACATTGAGGACATACACTGTTATTTGTCAATCATCAGAACTTAAATACTGTTGCACTTAGCATACCCAAAGCTGTGAAGCTGATATGGCAAAACACAAATTCCCTAAAGGGATTTCACTGGACACTTACTGTTGTTATCACAGAAAACATCATCCTAACCTCAAGACATAAAAGGTGAAGGTGTCATGAAATACTAACTTTCCTTTGACCCTTCACTCAGTCACTCAGTGGAACAAAAATCTTGAATGGACATGCAGATTACACAGATAATGTTAATTTTATACCACTAATTCAATCCACCAATGCAAGTCCCAGCACTCAAATACAATCTCTTACTTGCAACAGGTGTGGGTTACTTACTACTGTCTGGAATTTATCTTTGCTTTTTGTCTTGTTGGTGCCTGTTTTACCTAACCTAAATTAATTGGAATACTGCAGCTTTTCTGCATGCATTGTTTTATTCAAGATCAGGAATTTGCTTTTTTGTATTTTTCTGAAGCCAATCTTATGATCCTGTTCTATTCCCAAAACATTAAAATATCAGTATTATTATAAGTCTTAAGACAAAATGTTGGCAATCCAGAGATATTTCTATTATGGTTTTTTTTGTACTCTTATCAAGTGAGAGAGGCAGTTTTTTTTACAGTATTTTCACATTTCACTGTGTCTGTTTTGACAAACATAAGGAATTAGCATTTAACTTACCAATACAGGCATGGACCCTCACAGACAGCTGTGTTCTCAAAACCATACTGTGCTTCTTGCCTCTCCTGGAAGTGGGAACACACAAAAACATTTGGTCAAATTTATTTGGTAAATCTTTGTGTATGCAGCTAGAATCACTTTAAAAAGTAAAGTAATCTATTTTATCTCTGTCACAATAAGTGTTGGTAAATTTCACATACTGCATTATACTGCAAATATCTACTACAATGTAGAGAAAGACCATTAAAGTTCAAACATGAGTTATGTTTCACATAGTTACCTTTTCTTATTAAGAAAGAAAAGTTCATTAAATATTTTTATAGAATACTAAATTTACATATGTTAATACAATGCCAGGAGTTCAATGCTTTCGTTTTATTAAAAAGTTAAATAAATTAATATTTACATCTTTTTTTGATAATGGTATCTCTTAGTTAACTGGTTTTACTAGGGTTAGTGTTTTTCCCTATAAATCATCTCCAATTTAGCATATTAAGCTATTGAATATTTTCTTATTTTTAAAAGATTTATATAATATAATATCAAAGTAAATGAAGTACACAATCCATTTTTACATTAATATTAAGATACAGCAACCTTCTCTTCACAATATCTTGGCAAGTTTTCAGAAGCTTACTTTGTTAATGTCAAGAAAATAAAATAATATTACATCAATATTGGTTCAAGTATTTTATACACACAACAAAGCCAAAAGTGGAATAAAAATTAAATGCAAAAGTTTAGTAAAATCATTATGCATGTTTATTTAAAAAAACACCTTCTCATATTTTGAAATCTGTTTCATCTGTGTGTATATCCAGTGCTTAAAAAAGTACTCCTTTCATTTTGTCAAATATTATGTACATTTCTCTTTATACCTTTAACAGCCTATATAATTTTAAATACCAGATCAAATCTGTATCCATATTTATGCAGACAACTCACATTACTTTGCCATTATGATGCAGTTTATAGCACATGGCTTGTAACAGTCCAATACTATTATATAATATGCAGTATAATAGTAAAATATTTCCTAAAATATTGCCTTTTTTATTGTTTTCTATTTTAGTAGTCAATTCGACTTTTCATGATTGAACAAGGTCATCTGTGTTACTTTTATAGTACATCACATCAGAAAATATGCAGTCTTGCAAGCAATAGCAAAAAATGACAAAGCTCCACATGGAGCTGTGCAATATTTTGTTTTCTCATGACCCTCAATTAAATGTTTATTTGTCCTTGTTCTAGAAGTGGAACACTGATGTGTCTGCAGCTTTTCTTTTCTCTTGACCAGTGTAAATATATAAACACCTTCAGTGCTTCTCCATTCTAGTAAGGAAATACTGATTTATCTCTGTTCAATCCTTCAAACAGCCTCCCATACCTAAAAATTCTATGGAACAAGCAATATGTTGTGTTTTCTTTCTTCTCTTTTCAGCATGGAATAAACCTATTATTTGTTCCTTTGCAGCCTACGCATGCTGACGCAGCTCCCCACCTAAAATTTCTATGGTAAGACATAAAGTTGTTTCACCATGAAAACTTTAGATTTCAAACATAAGGCTACAATAGGCTTTTTGGAAGCATTTTTGGGAGTTAAAGAAAGAGCTTGGTGTGTCATGCTGTACTTCAATCTTCAGAAAAGCATAAAAGAACAGAAGCATCAGTTTGGTGGTCATTAGTAGGGTACCAGTGGGATCTGTATTGGACCATTACTTTCCTAATGTATATCAGAAATGTACCTGTACATACAGGTATAAGTATTAAATTAAACAAGTTCAAAAATGACTAAAAAATAGGAAAATTAGCTAACACTATAGAAGATACAAAGGACATTCAAACAAGATTTAGATAAAATTAAAGACTGGGAAAACATCTGGCAGAGGAGAAATACAGTGTATTACATGCAGGTATCAAAAATATAAACTATAAATATAAGATGGGAAAAACTGAGTTCGAAGACCTAACTTATAGACAATACTGGAAAGCAATAAAAAGGCAAACAGGCTTCATTTAATCTGTCATTTTACTTTTTGAGCATAAACATTAAGCCAAAGCACTTATTCATCAGCTCAGTAAAACCAGAAAGTAAATCTCAGATGTGAAGAAAAAAAATCAACATTTTTTTTCCTGTCCTGCCTAATCCCTGAGCTTTTTGACACTGCCTTTTGCAGTGATGACTGAAATAATACCCCTGTCTGTTTTAATCACTACTAACGGAAGACGATCTGCTATTTCCTGTTCCAAAATTGGCGTACAAGTGCTCCGATTTTGCCCCTTAACAGCAAAGAGCTAAAGTACAAAGAGGTGAGTTCCTCCTCAGCCTACCAAGGTCTTCAACCTTCCTGTCCTACAGGAACAATATCAGCAGGCTAGGAATTGCCTTAGTGCTGGAGCTTAAACCTATGACCTCTTGATGGCAAAAATAAACAATCCAACTAGAAAGCTCATCCATTGGACACGCCAGCTCAACAGAGGTGATAAATGAGGAGCAGCCCTGAATGGCTTCTAAGCCGTTGACTGTTTGTTTAATGGTGGGCCATGATATCCTACAACATCAGCGGAATGTTTTCCCAAGCAACCCAATCTGAAATTCATCTTGAGAAAATCAGTGCCTGAGTGTTGCCCTCTTGATTAAGGACCTCTGCCTCTAGCTCTCCATGTCTCCAAGCATCCGGGATGCCTACCTGTGTATGTCTTAATTGCTTCCAGCTACACAGAGCAATCGACACTGGAGCCATGCACCTTGTTTACTTTTCAGTTATATCCCAGAAAGCAATATTAAATTGTGTTCTCAATTCTCAAAATGGATCATTTAAAAAACTGCAGGAGACCCTTCGGATTCTTGAATTTCACAAATTTACATGGAAAATCTTTTCTGTGTTATTCTGGAGACTGTATGTCTGCAACAGAACCTAGTTTTTAAATTCTACAATTAGAACAAGCGAACAAAATTCAGAGGAGGCTAGGGCTTCTCTACAGAGGCTATTTCCCCCTTGGTATGAATGTTAATCTAGTTTACTGGGGAGTAAAGTCTGCCCACAGTAAACATAAGGACCTGTGTGCTTAACAAACAAAATTCAGGAACATTACTCTGACACAGAACCTATAATCAAGATATTTCAAACAAAACCTTGCAAAAATTGTGCCCTTCATTAAAACTCGTCATTTGTAGAACTTTTCACACAACAGACACTTACATTCCTTGAGGATTTAAAGAGAAGACCAAAATAAGGGTAGCTGCAAAAAAAATCACACATTGGTTATATAGAAAGCAAGGGCCATTCTAGTATACAGTTGGTTCAAATTAAATTAGTGGTAACCTACGAGATGGCTAAATCATGCTTCTGTTTTTTTTATCTTCCACAGCAAACAAAATACTGTTTGTGGAATGGCACTAATAATTACCAATATGTGGCTATTCACAATTAGTAATTCTTTACTATTCTCAGATGAGGCCGCATGCAGTGCTGCAGAGCCTGCCCGTATTACACAGCACACGCACAGAAGTTTGCTGAGTCAACCCTGGCACAGTGTGAAACACACACCACTGCCAATCAAAGGATACCTCTTCTTACCACTTTGCCACTGCTTGGATAAGCACGGTCAGAAAGGTTTAATTTACTGGCTGCCAACTGACCAATTTCAGTGATCATATACTGAGTGAATAAACATAGCCTCCCTCTTAACAATTATCAAAACACAAGAAGGAAAGTAGTTTATCTTCCGTTTCCCAATCCTTTTTGCAAAAAAATAATCAACAACAGTCTTAGTGAACTAAAAACTGACACAGAAGTAAAAGCTAATAATGAGTTTTTTTTTCTCAATAACTGTACTGGACACAATAACTCAATTTAACAAACATGCAAACAGACATTAAAATTGATTTTTTGTAAAAAAGCAGATATCAGAGTGCTTCTTTGATGAAAAACAGTAAAACAAACATTGTTTTTTTTTTTGTTAGAACACTACGAAAGAGCTTAACTTTGAATATATCAAAGAGAGAGTGAAATGTGTTTTGACGTCTTCAGCAGCCCACAAAAAGACTTTCATTATCCAGGAGATAGACATCATGAACACCAAAAGAGTATGTGAGGCATGGTAGGAAGACACAACAAACAGGATGAAAATCATTGATAATGCCCATAGCACAGCCCAAACTGTCTGTCTGCATTATACTGGCCTAAGATTTAGAAGAAGAAAAGGTCAATGATATGCTAACACCAATATTTAATTAATCATTTTGTGATGGAAACAATCTAAAATTTCAGGAACAAACAGGTATTACCCAATGTCTTTACAAACCAAGCTGACATGTTTTAATAAAAAAAACATGATTGAAATTGTTATAAATAAGATCTCCAAGATGGATTAGATTCAGATTTTGCTGAACCAGTGCAGGCATCTGCTTGCACTGTACAGTAGGATTGACCAGACTGTTTTATATCTGGTCTGTTTCATTAGCCAAATGTGTCCAGAATTTCCAGAGAGATAATGCATTGGTTACCAAGCACCACCGGGTTAAAGAGGTTCAATCCAAGTTTCTCCCTTTTGTAACACTAGTGGGTAGGGAGTATCAACGGTATTAATATCATCTGCCAACTGCACACATTTTGATGGATGCATTTATGTTGCCTTCATCTCTCCTTTACTGCTACAAAGGTCATACAATAAACACGTGAGGTACAAAGAGAAAAAATACAATTAAAAATGGTTTTGCTTAAGGCAGTCCTGAAAGCCAAAATAAAACATTGCCTCTCTTGCCACATATATAAAAATCCCAACTGATATTTTTCCAATGTTCTCTTACAGCCTGCTAGTAAATTAAATTACAAAGGAAAACATGCATACATTTATGTAACAGGAATTCTGTTCCTTCGTGCAGAAATTTGACTCCAGTTTGCGGTGAAAGCTATGTGCTTCTGTAGAGTAAAGCTGATATCATGCATTTATGTAATGCAGAAAATAACAACTTAGCAAAGTACCATTCTGTTAAAAGAAACCAGCTTTTTGAGATGAAGAACAGATTGGGGTCACTCTCAGAAAATGTTGAATAAGTGCA